AGACATATCTAATGGGTAGTGGGAGCCTTCACTGGGCCTACAGTAAAGAGACCTCGCTCTCTCTACTATGCATCATTGTTATTTACGTACCTGGCTTAAGTCCTGAGACTAGGACCTATGCTCTGCTCATCCCAAACCCCCAACAGCTACAGGAGTTCTGTACAGAGCAAATAACTGACTCCCTTGTGGTAAAAGGAAGTACCCCTCTCAACATTAAAGTCGTATCTGCCACTATTTTTATAAAATATTTGCATGATTTTATTTTGAATTTTAAGAGGTCTGCTTGGTGTAGTCCTGTTTGTGCCCTGACATTCTCCCTCCAATATAACATGTACATAATTGCGTTGTGAAAATAATGCAAATGACTTTTAGAACTTATAGATCCCTATCCCTCAAACGACAAATACAGTTAAAATGCAATGTAAAAGGAAAAGAAAAACAAAGCTTCAAAAACTGAGAGCATTTGAAAATGTTCCTCTCCCTTCTGGCTATTCTCATATTTCTTCTACTTTCAAACTTCATACACTTTTTGCTTTTCCCAACAGCAGTCTGCACTTACCTTCAATCTTCTGCGGTTCATTCTAACATACCAATTGGTCAGAATATCCACAAACTTGACCAGGCGAGGCACCACAGTATAAAGCCTATAAGCTAAAAGTAAGACAAGTCAATCAGGCAGCAAGTGGGTTACCAGGCATCTGCGGTGGGGAGAGGGCTGGATACAACAAAGAATGGGCAGCTCCTTCCATCCAAGGGCCTCTACTTACTAAGGAGAAAAGAACCAAAATGAAGCAATCACATAATGACTGTTTGAGGATGTGCTACACGGCAGTCAGGGTGTTTAGGGGTGCACACAAAAAAACCACCATGTGAGTCACATGCGAATTCCCACTGGTCAGTGAGAAAAGGCAAAAATTCCAGTATGTGTGGATCAAAGTCCAAGGCTGTCCACTACACAACTGTAGGAAGTGCCATTTACACGGAGTTGTGCAATTTGACAGCATCAACAATGCCCAACTTCTTTCCATGTGTTACACTGTACTTCAACTAAAAGTCGAAAAGCACAAATCAGATGTTAAGAGGCACAGCACAGGCCAGTGATTCTCAAACAACAGCAATTTTGCCCTGCGGGAAACATTTGTCAATGTTTGGAGAAACAGTTTGCTTGTCACAACTTGGAGGGTAGCATGGTGCTACTGGAATCTAATGGGTGGACCCCAGGGATGCTCCTCAGTTATAATGCACAGCACAGCCCCACCACAGAGGATGATCTGGCCCAAACTGTCCACAGTGCGGCAGTTGAGAAACTCTGACACAGGCTATGAATAAAATAGAACTGGCCTTCTAAACATTAAAACAGTTGAGTAAAAACAGCAACAGAGGGAGTGAAGGTCTTGAGGCATTAGGAGGATTTGAAGGGTTCCCTGAGAAACTCAGAGATCAAGTAGGAAAGAAAGGGTGTCTAGCCAATTGTGTCTGAGGCATGGCTTATTTTAAGGATTCTTATTCACCTCCCCTTTAATTAACACTCTTTGTTGCATTAAAACAAACACCAAAAACAAAAAGAATAAGACCAACCCACTTAGAAACAAATACAACTTATAATAATGCAAAGAGTCCAGGGAGTGTTAACGAGGCTTCTGGTCTAGGCTAAGACATGAGAAGTTGCAACAGGCAGAGCTGCTCTCTGCTGCTTTTCACAAAGACCAGAATTCAGGTGCCAGTGGGCTGAGCTCAAGGCCAGAGTTGTTAGTTGGTCACACTTTCTTCCACAGGTGATTTCAGTAACTGAGTCCTGTCTAAATGATTTCTAGGGTTCACGGCACTTTTTATCTTCCAGGAAGCTCAGCATTCCTATGTTCTGGTTTCAACTCTGAGGGAGTAAATGAACCCAAATGAACCCCACATACAAAGAATAAACACACAACACACGGGGCATTCCTATGTTCTGGTTTCAACTCTGAGGGAGTAAATGAACCCAAATGAACCCCACATACAAAGAATAAACACACAACACACGGGGATAACAGCAGCAGCCACTACCCAGGCCACCACCACCCTGTGAGGCAGGTCCTCTCACACCCACAGTGCTGCTGAGGGAGTGGAGGACATGAAGCTGACAGGCTGGCAGAGCTGGGACTTAAACACGACCCACAAAACATGGCTGCCAACCTCTAGTTTCCAGGCAGACCAGGCTCCAGCCAGGATGCACACTCTCCAGACCCAGCTTCACAGGAGGTCATGGCAGCTGGTGCCCAAATATTGAAGGGGCTCGGGCAACAATCCCCACATTTCCCGCCCACTCGTATCACTCAGGAGGGAAAAGCAGACACAGGTGTGCGCATGTCTGGGGAGAGTGTGCTGGGCTCCCAGCGCCCTCACCAGGGCAGCAATCAGCCTCACTCACTTCCATCTTCATCTATGTCTATTTGAGCAACAGCTGGACTGTCGTGATCCTTCCACATGTTTAACAAGGTGGATAAATCCTTTAGCAGTCCTTTTGTGCTAAGTGTGGCAGCACCGCCCGCTCCAGGGAGCAGCATGTGACCGTATCTAGGTTAATGGTGAAACCCAGGTCTGTGGCGGCCACTGCTCCTGCCCAACAGCAGCAGGAACCACAGAGCCCTGTGAGGGTGGATTTGTCTTGCCCTCTTTGGCCCTCATTGTGACCCAGGGCCTCTGCCCACCCACTTTAACGGATTGTCTGAGGTGTCCCAGATTTCTCACCTGGACCTACGGTTGTGACTATCTCAAACCTTAAGGAAGCCAACGCAACGTACTTTTTGAATCTCTGTAAAATTACCCAACAAACTCACTGTTGTTAGTTAATAGAAATACAGCAAAATGTCCATTTCATTATTGCTCTTCTGCCTTTTCTAATTTTTCTGGAAAAGAAGGGGACTATTTAGTAAAGAAAATAGACCTAAAAATAAGTTATAAATGCATTAATAACAAGTATTATTTATTGAGTATCTATTATCTGCCAGCTACTTTATGGAAATCGTCTCTACTCAAGCCTTACAAACACTACTGGGTATTCTGCAGATAAAGAAACTGAAGGTTAAGATAGAATGAGTAACAGTGGCATCTGATGGCATAATGGGGTGATTACAGTCAACAACAATTTCTTGTACATTTAAAAACAACTAGAAGGGTATAATTGGGATGTTTGCAACACAAACATATGATAAATGCTTGAGGTGATGGATATCTCATTTACCCTGATGTGATTATTACACACTGTATGCCTATATAAAAATATCTCCTGTACCCCATAAATATATACATCTACTATCTATCCATTAAAAAAAAAAAA